TGAGAGTATCCATAGAACGGAGGATTGGAGGGTCTGGTCGTGGCCCCAGGTCCTCCCAGATTACTCAGGACAGGGTCTCCAGACTCCTGGCTCTCCTGCCCACCAGGCTGAGGGCTGCGCGCTGATGAGGAAAACTGAGGCAGAGGTGGCTAGAGACGGTCAGCTCTAAATTCTTGCATCATCTCATTTAGCCCTCCCGTCCCTCAGGAGCCAAGGCTCATTCTTGTTCTAAAGAGGAAGCCAAATCTCCAAGAGGCAAAGTGAGTTGCCCAAGGCCACAATGGCAGTGAGGATGCAGCAAGGTTTGGACCAGAGTCTACCTCCAGGACTTAACTGCTCTCACAGCAACCTGGGCCTTGGGACACAAGGGCCTGGATTAAGGGACCGTGTGGAAGGCTGGTGAGCTGTGACCAAGAAGAACATGATAATGGGTTGGCCATGAAAGGCAGGGAATCAAGCCTCATTTTTCTAGGAATTCCCCTGCCAGGAGGGTCTCCTTCCTGGCCACTGTGCCGCTGACTATAGGCCACAAGACAAAACACTGTCGCCCACACTCACGGTACCTGTTGCCTCTCCAGGAGCTGGGCACAAGAAACTTTCTGGAGAATGGCTTGGTTGGGCAGGAGTGCCCTGCCCTTCCCAGTTCCTCCCTGCAGCTCCTGGAGCAAGACGAGGAGAGAATGGCAGGGCTGGGAGGTTTACCCTGTGATCCTAGACAGAAAGACAGACAGACAGACAGACACACACACACACACACACACAATCTGAGTGAGTCATGGTTAAGAGCCATGGTGGCTCTAAAGGCAGCAAGCCTGGGTCCTCAAATAGTAATAATACTGGTTTCATGGGTTGTTGTGAAGGTTCATGGAGTTACTACATGTAAACCCTTGAAACAGTGCCTGGCACGTAGTAAATAATAAATGGAACACTAGTGGACATCATCCTCCTATTTGTTACTCTGAATCTGGGGGACACAGACCAAGGGGTACAGAATTAATAGCTCCAGTTGAATGCGTGTTGGAGCATCAACAGTGAAAGATGATTAATATACTGAAACCACCTCTGAGCCTCATGGCTGGGGACACAATAGGAATGACGGGGACACAATAGGAATGACAGGGACTGTGACAAACTGGAAAACCAGCGCCCTCTAAGGAAGGAAACTACTGACCAGGCAGTTGTTGCCATGGGAAAATTTGGGTGATGCTGCCACATCTTTGGATATTCCAAAATTTGGAGTTTTATATGAAGTTTAATTGTAGGCCAAATTAAACTCCTCTGTGAGCCTGCAGGTCAGGTTTTTGCAGCCCTTGGAGGGCAGGAGAGAGCCTTGAGGGCCTGCAGGGGAGCTGCCTGCAAATCTCTTGGATCCCCAAGTCGGCCTCCTTCTCACCTGTCTCTCAGGGTGAGGGGTGGGAGAGTGGGGATGTCCACGGACAAATGTGATTGTGCAGCCAGAGCCCGGCACTGGAGGCTCTGCCCAACTCTGCCCTGTCTGTCCAGCCCGGGGATGAATCCAGAAACAGATGGAAGAGGCAGGAGATGACTTCATTCCATGCACTGGGCACCTACTACACGCCAGTCACTGCTCTGGGCACTGCAGAGGCAGCAGTGATCACAAGAGGCCAAGCCCCTGCCCCAGCGGTGCTGACCTCATGGCCTGTGTGTGCAGGAGGGGCAGGAGGTATCAGGGGTGATACATGCTGTGATAAATAGAGCAGAGGAAGGGGGACCAGGAGGAGCAAAGGCCCTGAGGTGAGAGGGAGGGGTCGAAGGTGATGGAAGCCAGGGATAAGATGGAGAGACGCAGCTAGCCAAGGTGGTGAAGGAGACAGTGCTGATAAGTGAGCAGAAGTGGGGCCCAGTGGGGCCTCTTCTCCTGGTGGCCACTCTCTCTCAACCCCAGATGTAGGCCCAGAGCAGCTGCATCCCCTTTCACAATTTCTGACAGTTTGTTCCTCCCCTCCCTCCCTCCCATCTCAGGATGGATAGTCCTTTTCACACTCTCCTGTAATGTCTTTGTGTTTATCTCACACACACACAATCAAACCTCTTGAGTTCCTGAGGGTAGAAAGCCTGTTTTTCCGCTCACCTCTGACCCCTCCCACCTTTATGTTCCCCACAGTGCCAGAAATAATACATTTCTGTACACAAATGTGTTAAACTGAAATAATGGCATGGCCTTAATTAAGCATGTTACCTTACTTCTCACACCTTAGTTTCCTCTCTGTAAAATGGGGATAAATCACTCATAGATTGTAGTGAGGAGGAAAAGAGATAAAGGCTATAAAAACTGGGAGCCCAGATAACCTGGGCCTCGGGAGGTCACTAGTGTTTCCAGGATTTTGAAGGTTTCTCCGGTTCTGAGCTGGACTCCCCTGGAGCTCCTGGAAAAGGTTCTTACCTCCTCCCTCCTGCCACCATGGGGCTTCAGTTTCCTTCTCTGAGAGGAGCTAAGTGGGGAAGAGGGGCCAGCACACATGTCCCAGTGAGGATGGGGCCGCATGGGCTACCACAAATCCTTCCTGGCTTTGCTGGTCCCCTCAGCCCAAAGTCTTGCTGCTGTGACTTCTTATTTCACCTAAGCCATTTTTTAGTCTGTAGGATGTTCCCTCTCCAGGTCCACCCTGCCAGGCCCTGCTCCCACCTCACAGCCCAGGCGTCCAAGCCCCATCCCTGGGTCTGAGTCCCAACAAAGGCAGGCCCCGAGGGACCAGCAGCCACCAAATCAGAGATAGGGCTTTCCGGGAGCAGCAGGCGGAGCCCCTGTGAGATGGAAGGTGGCCAGAAATCCGGACCCCCTCACTGGTATATGAGTTCCCCCTGAAAACCTGCTCCCACTGGAGATGGAGAGAGGGGCGTCGTCTCAGCCACCTCTCTGCTACCCTGTCCTCTTTTTTTTTCCCAGGCTGTGGGAGGCAAAGGGTTAAATCCCATAGAGCTGATGCTCTGACTCCAGGCTAGAGGGGCCCGGGAAGCTGGGGTCACTTCCTGCTCCGTCCCAGTCACCCTGAACTGGTCCCCGGGTCCTCAGCCTGGGATCACCCCTTGAGAAGGACCCCAGAGTCCTCGGCATCTCGCCCGCCCCCCGAGGCCGGGCATTCAAGGGGTTAAGTCCCTTGGGGCTGGATTCTGCCTTCCGGCCTTTCCCAGACCCCAGAGCCGTGAGTTGGGGACGCCTGGGTTCCCGGGGGGTGGCCTGGGGCGCCCGGGACGGCCGCCGGGGAACAATGGGGCGCGGGAGGCGGGGGCCGGGCCGGGCCTGAGCCCCCTCCCCCGCCCGCGGGCCGCCCGGGGTAGGGGTGGGGGCCGGGCAGGGGCCGCGAGGGCCGAGGATTCTGGGAAGAGCGCGAGGGTCTGGCTGTGGGGGAGGGGAGGGCGTGAGCATTCTGGGAAGAGGGAATTCGGCCGGGGGGCTGGGGCGCCGCGGGAGAGCCGGGAATCCTGGGTGGCCCCGGGGGGGGTGGGGGGAGGGGAGGATGCCGGGCACTGGGTTGGGAGCCGGAAGGAGGGTCGTGGGGACTGGCTGGAGCAGAAGTCCAGGGTCTGGCCTGGTGCGGGTGTCGGGGGGCCAGGGCTAGGGTGGCTGCATTCCCGCAGTCGCCTCCATGTCAGGGTCACCCTGGGCCGATCTCCACACCTCTCTGTGAGGCAGCCTCCTCCTCTTCTTCCCTCCCTCCCTCCGCAGTGGGGCTGGCATGAGGTCCGAGGCCGGTGTAGGCCCAAGCACTTCTTGCTTCCCTGGGTCTCCCCACTTTCATATTGCGTGTTGGCTTCTTCATTAACCCCTTCCCTTCTACTCTCGACTGCTGAGTTTGAATTTCTCCAGATGATCAAAGGTACCTAAGCCCTTACCTGTCCTCAGCAAACCCAGCAAGGCTCTTCTAAAGAGTCAAGCACCCCCCCCAGCTGGGAGGAGGTCCGGGCTTCCACCTCCCCAAAGACACTTGCAGATGGGGGTGGGGAATTCTCATAGCTTAGGGAGCTGCGGCAAATGAAGAAATTCATTTACTTCCTAAAATCTAACTCCCATCTCTCCTCCTTGCTATTTGGCAGGGTTCAGCTAGCTCCCGCTTCACTTTGATTTCCACCTAGCTGCCTCCTCATGCGTCTCCTTGCACCACTGCCCCCATACACACAGTGTCCATCCCACCTGGCCACCCAAAGCCCACACCCTCCCCAGGGACTCTCTTAAGGGTCTAAACGTTGTGGGAAGTTCTCCTCTTAGCACTTAGCCCCTGTGGCCCTGTTCCCTCATCCTGGAATCATATCACCCTTTTTGGAGTGACAGCTGGCTATGTTTTACTTTAAACTGCTGCTCCTTTGCTGCCACCCTCTTTAAAGGCATTGGACCAAACAGGTTTTCTAAGAGCAAGCGGCATCTCATTCATTCATCTTTCATTCAAAATTTACTTTGCACTTATTATGTGTTAGGGATGGGATATGGCAGCAACAAAAACTGGGCTAGAAGAAGGGGTACCAGGATGGGAGTGATAATGGAAGGCTCCAGTGGGGAGTTCTCTGTTTCGAGTTCACAGAAGCAGAATGTCAGGATCCAGTGCCTCCTTTTACAGCCAGGGCAACCTCTTAGTCCCAAGCATTTCTCCCTCCCATTCCCATGGCCAACAGGCTCTGAGCTTTCCCCAGCTGCCCACGTTTATGGGTTTCACATGACTCTCAAGGTCATCGCTCTCTTTCTCTCTCTCAGAGGCTAGGACAAGCCAGACATAGAACCTTGTGTTTCTGGTCTTAACTCTGCCACCTCCTAGCCTTTGACCTTGGAGAAATCTCCCTGGGCATTGATTCCCTAATCTGTACAATGGACGTCCTGATTCCTGGGTCTACCTCACAGGATTGTGGGGAGGACTGGATGAGCTGCTGAGGACAGCACAGCAGGCACTGCGTCAGCTGCCAGGTGGTCTCCATACACTTAGCCCTTCTCTCTTTTCCTTTCCATTTTCCTCTCAAGGTAGTTTCTGCAGAAGCCCCTGACAGCTTTAAACTGCCTCCGCCCAACTTCTGACCTTCTTTCTGTGCTTGGGTAACGGGAAAGTGCCCCAGTCTTTTGGAGGGCTCTGTCCCCTCGGGGAAATCGGAGCGGTTACTTTTTTTTTTTAACTCCTTAAGTGTTCCAGGCAGTCTCAGTTCTCTGTTCACAAGGAAAGTTTATTGGTCCCAATTAGCAGCCCCATTAACGAGGAAAATTAGAGTCTTAATGAGCTTCCTCTGATTAGCAAAATAACAGGCTTCCCAGCCTCTGGGCATCAGAGGGGTGGGGTGAGAGCCTCTTTCCCCTTGTGGGTGTCAGACACCTCTCCAGCCCCCAGTCTGGGTTCAAAGGGTTATGAGTGATGAGCTTTTAATTACACTCTTAAATTCACCTACTTGCTTAGTTGTGATCTTAAGATCTGGAGCAGGAATCAGGCCTCCAGGGGGAGGGGGGCCGCAGTGAGAACGAATGCCCAGAAAAATGGGGAGGTAGGAGACTGAAGTTCATGCAAGGAGGAATGAGGGCTGGGGGGCACGCAGATGGAGGAGTGGGGCTGGGGGAATAAAGGAAAGCAGGATGTCAGCTCTTATTGTGTGCTGTCTCTCTCCTCCCCCAAGGTCCCTGAACATCTGGCAATCCTGAGCTCTGGGATGGAGCCTGAGACAGCGCTGTGGGGCCCAGATCTGCAGGGTCCTGAACAGAGCCCCAGTGATGCTCAAAGAGGTGAGGGGCACAAGAAGGGACTGCAGTCCTGACAAGATAGTGGCCCCAGTTCAGGGAGGGGCACAGACTCTGGTGGAAACCCAGGGGAGGGAAGAGAGGCCCGACCCCATGTTCTGAAAGGAGATAGGGGCTGGAGACTCCCTTTCTCTCTGTAGGTGCTGAGAGTGGGAACGAAGAGGAAAGCCCTCAGCAGGAAAGTTCTGGGGAGGAGATCATCTTGGGAGATCCAGCTCAGAGTCCAGAATTCAAAGACCCACAAGAGATGCCCCTGGAGACGCCCTCCCAGGATACCTCAGCCTCTCAGGACCCCCCATCCCCGCTGGGTCAGTCCAACCCCTTGGACCACCAGACTTCTCTGGACCCCACCACCCCCGAAGTAGTCCCGACCCCATCTGACTGGACCAAAGCCTGTGAGGCCAGTTGGCAGTGGGGGACCCTGACCACCTGGAACAGCCCCCCAGTGGTTGCAGCAAATGAGCCCAGCCTACGGGAGCTGGTTCAGGGCCGCCCATCCGGGGCCGAGAAGCCCTACATTTGCAACGAGTGCGGCAAGAGCTTCAGCCAGTGGTCCAAGCTGCTCCGGCACCAGCGCATCCACACGGGCGAGCGGCCCAACACCTGCTCCGAGTGCGGTAAGAGCTTCACGCAGAGCTCGCACCTGGTGCAGCACCAGCGCACGCACACGGGCGAGAAGCCCTACAAGTGCCCCGACTGCGGCAAGTGCTTCAGCTGGAGCTCCAACCTCGTGCAGCACCAGCGCACGCACACTGGCGAGAAGCCCTACAAGTGCACCGAGTGTGAGAAGGCCTTCACCCAGAGCACCAACCTCATCAAGCACCAGCGCTCGCACACGGGCGAGAAGCCGTACAAGTGCGGCGAGTGCCGGCGGGCTTTCTACCGCAGCTCGGACCTCATCCAGCATCAGGCCACGCACACGGGCGAGAAACCCTACAAGTGCCCCGAGTGCGGCAAGCGCTTCGGCCAGAACCACAACCTCCTCAAGCACCAGAAGATCCACGCCGGTGAGAAGCCGTACCGCTGCACCGAGTGCGGCAAGAGCTTCATCCAGAGCTCGGAGCTGACCCAGCACCAGCGCACGCACACCGGCGAGAAGCCATACGAGTGCCTCGAGTGCGGCAAGAGCTTCGGCCATAGCTCCACCCTCATCAAGCACCAGCGGACTCACCTGCGCGAAGACCCCTTCAAGTGCCCGGTGTGCGGCAAGACCTTCACGCTGAGCGCCACGCTGCTGCGGCACCAGCGCACGCACACGGGCGAGCGGCCCTACAAGTGCCCCGAGTGCGGCAAGAGCTTCAGCGTCAGCTCCAACCTCATCAACCACCAGCGCATCCACCGCGGCGAGCGGCCCTACATCTGCGCGGACTGCGGCAAGAGCTTCATTATGAGCTCCACCCTCATCCGCCACCAGCGCATCCACACAGGCGAGAAGCCCTACAAGTGCTCGGACTGCGGCAAGAGCTTCATCCGCAGCTCCCACCTTATCCAGCACCGGCGCACGCACACTGGTGAGAAGCCCTACAAGTGCCCCGAGTGCGGCAAGAGCTTCAGCCAGAGCTCGAACCTCATCACGCATGTGCGCACCCACATGGATGAGAACCTTTTCGTGTGCTCCGACTGCGGAAAGGCCTTCTTGGAGGCGCATGAGCTGGAGCAGCATCGGGTAATCCACGAAAGGGGGAAGACCCCAGCCCGAAGAGCTCAGGGTGACAGCATTTTGGGCCTTGGGGACCCTGCCCTGCTGACCCCACCCCCGGGAGCCAAACCACACAAGTGTCTCGTCTGCGGAAAGGGGTTCAATGACGAGGGCATTTTCATGCAGCATCAGAGAATCCATATTGGAGAAAACCCCTACAAAAATGCAGATGGCCTCCCCGCACACCCGGCGCCCAAGCCCCCTCAGTTCCGATCCCCCAGGCTTCCTTTTGGAGGGAATTCCTATCCAGGTGCTGCGGAGGGCAGAGCTGACCCCCCAGGACAGCCATTTAAAATGCCTGACGGTCAGGAGAGCTTCAGCCAAAGGCTGGGGCTGCTCTCCTCCAAGTCCTACATCTGTTCCCACTGTGGAGAGAGCTTTCTGGATCGCAACGTGCTCCTCCAACACCAGCTCACCCACGGCAGCGAAAAGCCCTTTCTCTTTCCTGATTATAGGATTGGCCTAGGGGAAGGGGCAGGGCCCAGTCCTTTCCTAAGTGGAAAGCCCTTTAAATGCCCTGAATGCAAAAAAAGCTTTGGCCTCAGCTCTGAGCTGCTGCTGCACCAGAAAGTCCACGCAGGTGTGAAACCCCAGAAGAGTCCGGAGCTGGGGAAGAGCTCTTCTGTCCTCCTAGAGCACCTCAGGAGCCCCCTGGGGGCTAGACCCTACAGCTGCTCAGATTGTGGGGCCTCCTTCCTCGATCGCCCGGCCCTCATCCGGCACCAGGAGACCCACACCCAAGAAAAGTCCCCCAGACCTGAGGACCCCGTTCCAGAGCCAGCCACCCTGTCCACAAGCCAGGAAGATGAGGGAGAGGCCCCCAAGCCCCCAGGGAGCAGCAGCCACAGGGAAGGGGAAAGCCCCAAAAACCTCTTGGAAGAAAAGCCCTATTTGTGCCCCGAGTGTGGAGATGGCTTCACAGAAGTCGCTGCCCTCCTCCTCCATAGGAGCTGCCACCCAGGGGTCACCCTGTGAAATGGGTCTGGAGACCAGGGGCCTCTCTCTCCCGAGAGGAACACTGGACCGCCCCAAAAATTCTGTGGGGAAAGGAGGAAAACCCTATCAGATTGTAGAGAAGAGGATAAAGAACTGTGGGTAAAAATAGCGCTTTTACATCCGTGATGAGAAACCCTTTAAAATTGTTGGTGGGAACCACTTCTTATAAGGTAGTAGAGAAAAACTGTTGGGTTAGAAACCCTATAAATATGTAGGAAAAAAAAAGCCCTTTAAGTCTGTAGCAGAAAAACCCTATAAACCATAGTGGATAAAAGCCCTATTAATTGTAGGAAGAGGTCCCAATATGTCTCTAGACAACCCTATAAAACTGTATTGAAATCCTTGTGAAACTAAAGGGTCAGGGAAGTGCAGGGAATAGGACAACAGCATTGACTAGGGAGGAGTGACCCTTAGAAGGTATAGAAGAACCTCCCACGAACTTGCTCCACAGCATTCTCTCCCCCTGGAGTGTGGGAGGGAGCCTGTGTCCCAGAACCCTGGACAGTTACACTGAGGAAAATGCTCAGCTGGGGAGGAGTGTGGGAATTAGGTGGAATGGGAAAAGGAAGAAAACAAAGAGAATAAAATAAGTGATGAGGAGCCCTCAGACCCACAGAAGAGAAATGACCCAGGAACTAAGAGAAAGTCCAGCTCTTGGCACTGGGGGCTTCTTGTGGTCGGAGGGCAGACTTAGACGATTATGTGTGTTAGAGGAAGAGGCCCGTGGAATTCCGGATCAGAAAGAACCCAAAAATGGGGAAAGAAAAAAATAGCTAAACCTTTTTAAAGGCTAAAGTTTGGGATGCATACAAGCCTTAAGTGTAAGAAAAGTAGGAAACCACCACAGAAATTCGGAGGGAAGAGTGGGGGGATTTGTTAGAGTGCTTTGAGGAAAGCAAACCAAGGTGGAGAAGCTGTTCAGATGGAAGCCAGCAAACTCCAGGCTGCCCAGTCCTCCCTGTAGCTTGTTAAACTGCAAGTACAAGCAGATCCCAGCTCAGGCCACCAGGGTTCTCCCCGACCCCCCACCAGGCAGGACTTCCCTTCTCCCCAGCCCAGCTGGGGAGGTCTACTCTGAGAGGCCTCCAGGAATGGAGGGTCCCTCCTGCACATTCTCAGGTCTCACTGTCAGGAGGTTTCTCCTGAAATCTAACTGCCACCAGTCTTCCTGCAGTGGCAGCCCATTTCCTCAAATTCTGTCCTCAAGTCGGAGAGGGAGAACCGCTGCTAGTCGACCTCCAAAGAATAAAGTCCTTCAGAGACTCAAGGCCTGTGTGTGGTTAAATACTCCCTAGACTTCTAAGTCAAGAGAGCCACGTGTGGATTCTCTCTGGCTACAACGGACAGCAAGTCAACAGAATAATGAGCTCTGATTAGCCAACAACCTCACTTCATCTGAGCTGTCAGCAAGGCTGCTGGCAGGATGAGCCAGCCTATACGCAGTGATGGGTATCCAAACACCCAACAGACTGGACCATGAGTCTCTGAAGAGTATATGGAGGCCTGACCACCTTTCTCACCCTGGTACCCTGAGCCCTCTGAGGCTGTAACAACCCAGTTCGACTGTGGTCTTGGAAAGGGACATATTCCACCCACTTGGCTCCTCTCCTTAGCCAGAAACCTTTAGAGGGAAACAGAAAGATGAGAAACACTCCCTGGCCAGGACTGGCCCCTGTCTTCACACCACATACAGTGACGTACTTTCATTAACCCAGCCAAGCCTGCTCACGTGACTGGGAGTGTGTGCGGCAGGGGGAAGACTGTTGTCCTGTAAGATGGTTAAAGAGAGAAAACTCTTGAAACATCTGTAACAAGAACCCCACCTAACCCTGGAGACCCTTAAAGGAGAGGACTCCATCCAGTACTGGGTTCAAAGGAAGTGCCCACTGAACCCACGCTGGCCCCAGGAATACACTCTGGTCTTGGAGTAAGAGAACTGAGATGCCAGGTGAGGTGGCCCTTCGGGAGCTGCATCCCTGGAGCGAGTGCCCAGCTTCCTACAAACCTGTGGAAGAGACCTCTAATTCCATTACCTAAAAGTTCAAAAGGTAAAAGTCCTTCGCCCTTCATCTATCCTGTCCCCAGAGGGATGACCCTCAAATTCAAAGATCAAAATCTAGAACACTGTAGGAGGGAAAACCTAGGCCTGCTGGGGAGAAGGAAAGGTCAGGCCTTGGATGACTGTGGGGAGACCCTTGTTAACATCAGCATAAAGCCCCACCCCACCCAAGTGCCAGGTTGGAAAGCACCGCTGAGAGGGGAGAAGGAGCCTGCCTGCCTCTACTGACAGCGTCAACCAAGGAGGGGGTCCTTCCGAGACAGAAGAAGAGGAGATCATTCTCTAAGCAGGTTTTTCCCCTCCACGATAGCAGAAACTTCAGTTGTAGAGACAAAGCCCTTGTACAGCTAGAAACAGACCCCCTTGGAAACAGGTCTGAGGAATCTGTTTCCAGAAGAGTCCTAGAGAGCAGCCTTTGGGACTCGGGGGCCAGTCCGGGGGGAGGTGGTCACTGTGATCAAAGGCCGACCATAGGCCTATTGAGGACTAGAGTGTAGCATACGTAGTAGGATGCCCGCATGTTGTAGGGATGGGTGAGGGCAAGGGGCCTTGGCTCCGGTACTGAATGGATAATGTGGACACAATTAGTTGGGGTCTGGGGATTCATAGGAAGGAAAGGGGCAGAGTCGGAGACCTCTGGGGGTGTGACGTGTTCTCTGTTGCCCACCTCCCCGAACTCCTTTAGCCAGTTGCTTCCCTCCTAGAGTGAGCTACATCTTGGGAGGAACTAAGCAGGGAGCAGGTGGGAGACCTGGCAGTGTCCAGAGTCCCTTTGACCAGCTCAGGCCAAGGCCCAGGGGTCATGGCGCTTTCCCACAGGAACTGAGTCTTGAAAGCAGAGTGTAGCCAAACCCCCTTGTCCAAGTCCATGCAGGCCTAACTCTTCAGAAGTGCCCAGTGGAGAAGCCCAACAGACAGGGTCACAGTGTCACTGGTGAAAGCAGAGGGGAGAATAGAAACTGATCTGAGCTTAGGGTGAAACTTGAAACTGCTATGGATATGGAGGTCAGATGAGAGCTCGAGAGAACTGGGCATGAATCCTGAATGGTGAGGAAACTTGAAATCATCACCACAAGAGGTGGGGTCCCATGACATTCGCCCCTGAGGTGAGCAGCCCCCAGACTTCTTTGCTCCCATTCGGGAAGCCCCACTCACCTGACTTGTCCCCCTGGAGTGAAGAGAGGCCCCACTTTTGAGTGTTGTGTGTCAATAACAGTGTTGTGTCACCGGTGGTCATGTTGATTAGTTAAAGAGAATAAAGGGAATAAGATTTCCCAAGTGTTTTCTGTCTTTCAAGCCTTAAGCAAGCTGAGAGTGCCTGTCCGCTCCCAGGGCAGCGTCCAGGTGTCACCTCAAAGGCACAGCCCAGCCTGAGGCCACACTTGGAGCCCTTTCCCCAGGTGCCCAGATGCTGGTGGGAGCCTGAGGGTTTATGGAATTTTAAAATCTGTACTCATGGGAGATAGAGGGAGAAACGTGCTCAGGTGGCAGAGCCAAGCAGCATTACGTGCCTACTTCTGGGTGGCTGCCTGGTGACTGGCACTGGCTGGCTTAGTGCCTCAACACCTGCACCTCCCCAGACTGCCACAAGGGAAAGTGCCTAAGATCTAGCTCCAGAAGCTAGCGGCCACTTCCCCTGGTTCACCTGGGCCCTGGACCTGGCCTAACCATTCCTTTAGAACAGAGCCTCCTAGGCCCTGAGGAGAGGTGGGTGGACACCTGGCTTGTGTTCTCACTCAGGATGTAGCCCATGAGCCCCCAGTGTGTGAGGGAGTGAGGCTAAGAGAAGGGCAGCCATTTGCCTAAGATCTACTGCAAGGTGGTGAGGGAAACCAGAATGGCCAGGAGCAAGCTCTGTACCCGACCAAGCCTGTCCTCCCCCATCGCTGGGCCTGCCTGGGCCTGGCCTGGGCTCCTCACTGTCTGGGCCAGACGGGGTTGCTCCACTGAATCCTCAATGCAGGCTTGCCTCAGCACTATCTCTTGGGCCGAGATCTGGCTATGGCCTCTTAAGTGGCTGCTTGAGATCAACACCTGCTCTAACCTGTTGCCTGCCTCTGCCTCAGTCTGCTGGGGGCCTTCTGCCCCAGCCAGGAAGCTGTCTCCCCACCTTCCCTTTACCTCTCTGATCCAGGCTCCCAGGGCAGGCTCAACTGTCTCTCCTTCCCCTTCCCCATCTGGAAAGCAAGGGGTGGAGAAGTGGGGAAGAGAAGAGGGACTTGCCTTTCACATAGAGGTGAGTATGGAAGGCTGTTCTCTCTTCCCTGTGTTTCCAGCCCTGGGGACACTGAGGGACGTCAGCACAGGAGTCATCAGTAAAGTGAGGGGGCTACAGGGGAAGAATAAGCACTGGAGCACATTGGTACATACTTACCAGAAGGGGCTGTGGACCCAGATGTGATGCCTGCAGTGGGTCGGGAAACTAACTGAGGAAGTCATCTGACGGTGAAGGCTGCAGGAGCAGGAAACAGTGTATGTAGGGGCCAGGGTGGAGTGGGGGATAGAGGGTGCATAAATTAGGTGTAGGCTTAGAGCAATGAGGGATAGGAATTGAGATAAGGTAGAGAGCACAGGCTAGAGTGTGGAGCATCTTGTTTGAGTAACTTGGGGGAAAGGGCACCATCGGGGGATTTTTAAGCAGAGTGGCATGATCCTAACCTCCAGCCATGAATGGTGGTTATTTACCAGGTCTGGAGCGCAAGAAAGAGAAGTGGTGCTGGAGGAGTTGGGCCTTATTATCCTAGCTGTAGCCATGGTCCTGGGTAAACACACCCAAGGAGAGAGCTGAAGTAGAAAGGAGACGATCAAGCTTGTGGATGCAGAAAAAGGGCCAGCAGAAGATAATATGAGGAAAACCAGTAGAGTGTAGCACTACAGGACCCAAGGGAAGTTTTAAAGAGAGTGGTCAACCTCAAATGCCCCACTGAACCCTGTGACCAGTTAGACAGCAGCCTTCATTCTGGCTGAAAAGGTACCTTTGTCATTGAGGCCAGTATCTGCTCACCTTCAGAGGCCAACCAAGGTCAGCATTGGTCCAGGAGGACCTCTGGCCTGCCCATCCCGAGGGCCCAGGGTATTACAGCCACTGAGGGAGGGCTACAAGGGTTTGTAAGGGGTCAAACATCCTGTATGGAGGGACCTGACCAGCCCCTAAAGTAGATTTTCCCAGCACTGGGCGGCCTAATTGCAAACCAAGATTTATGGAGAGTTTACTCTCTTCCTGCAGCATCAGTGATGTTCCTACTCAAATTCTGGGATCTTTATCGCACTTTCTTGGGCTCCAGCTTGAGAAAATGGTTCGATGCTTACTTTATTAAGCGTGGGAACTCACGAGTTTTTAGCTCCTCTAGATGTGGAGAGATGTTTGGGAAGGTGATGCAGTCACTTGCATTACTAAGGAGCCCACGTGAAGGTGACTCCTGGGAAACAGGGCAGTGCTCACAGAGGATTGGCTGACCCCGACCGGCTCCCAGGCGCAGCACTCCTCTCAGAGACGGACCGCATCTCTATGATGCAATACGCTGCGTTTTACCCAACCTGACTACCACTGCCCGGGGCCGCGGACACTTCCTCGGCCGGATGCCATCCCCCGCCGCGGCCAGAGCTTCAGCAAGCGTGCCCACTGCCGCCAGCCGTGCGCCGGAAGTCACCGTAGCCCGAGTCTCCGCCTCCAGTCCGACCTGGTCCAGCTGCTGCGGACCCTCCGAAACTTTGGGCGCCAGGTGGGGCCCTAAGGCGGACAACGCCGCGAGCCCCCGCGAAGGTGCTACCGCCGATAATGCTGCGGGAGTGCGCAAGGGCATGACTGCTGACAAGCCGGCAGCGGCTCCCGTGGCCATGGCTCCAATTCCAGCTCCTGTTTCGGCACCAAGCCCGGTCAGCACCGGCCTGAGCGCGAGCCCCAGCGCAGCCTCGGTGAAGGCTCCGCCCGCGTACCCGACAGAGCGATGAACCCACAGCGCCATTCGACACACGGTTCTCGAGGACATGGCTAACAGCCAGCACAAATGGCAATGAAGGAAGTCACCCGCTGAGATGTCCTGTCTGTCCGTCCGAGGGGGGAAGGGGCGGGTAAAGCCGTTGGGGATAGACTGGGTCCAAGCCTGCCTCTGACCAGCACAACTGGGAACTCGGGTCTTACCTCGGAGAATCTCGTCAGCCGGTGCCAATAAGGGACTACATTTCCCAGGATGCGCCTCGAGGCTCCCAGCATCCCTGTAGCCAATGACTGCGGTGGGGGGGGGAGCGTGGTGAGCCCGTGAGGACGCGGCCCGCAGTTGTGGCGATGCAGGGAGTGTCAGCCCCTCCCCGTGGGAACAGGAGAGGTCGGCGGGCTGCAGCGGACAGACCACGACACTTTCTCCTTGTAGACACGCCCCTCCCAAGGGCCCAGTCCGAGAAACCGGATGGCAGTTAGGTCTAAGCATAACTAGTCGTTGGAGGTGCGCAGGACCAGGGTATCTCATTTGTGCAGGCCCTCCAGGTTCACATGTCAGCCAGGGGAGCTCGGGGAACAAGTTTTAACAGCCAAAATCCAGGACCACATTTAGGGTAGGAAGCCTGGCTACTAAGACTATAGGCTGAGTTGGGCGTTTATTCATAACAATTAACAGCCTATACAAGACATTTCTAGAGCAGGGGCTGTGGGTCCGAGTGGACCCTTGCACCTGTTCAGCAGCTCCACCTTCCAGGTCCCTGTGTACTGCCTTTACAGCCCATGGAGTTTGCTTGGGCAGGCAGCACAGGAAGCATCGTGGGTACAGGCTCAGTGACAGGGTGTTAGGTGAAGCTCTTCTACCTGGAATGATCGGAAGTTGGCCCAGCAGCCAGTCTTTCCCTTTCCCTCCTGGGAAGTTTTGCCCCCACTGCAGTTAATAAGGCCACCAGGATGAAACGGTCAGGGTTAGGGACCCAGCAGAACCTTGGGAAGCATTGAGGTGGGTGTAAGTGGGCCTGGGAGCAAAGTAGAAATTGAGGGGTCTGATTAGAATAGAAACCGATGATCTTGGTTCAGCACTCCCAAGATGAGGGCAAAGTGACTGCAGCAACCTCAGAGTTTCCCAGAGGAAGAGGATGGTGCCCTCACCAAGAGGGTGCTCTTAGCACACAAGACCAGACCAAAACCCCCAAGGAACTCCACAGGAGGGAAGCTCTGCCCAGGTTTGGGGAGCACTACGTAAAGGAAGTTTCCCTGGGCCCCAGGGCCCAGTCTTAGGGCAGCGAGCTGGGGACCTAGCCCATCCCTGGTCCTCACTTGTGGGTAAGCAGATAGTGAGCCTTCACTTGTGTGAGAAGTCACAGCCCGGGGAATTTCCTTTAGGGCTGGGATGGGCCTGTGGAGACAGTTGAAGAGTTGGGGCCAGCTTCCAGGAAGTTCAGCTGAGTGCTCTCTCTGGGCCCCTCACAGCAGACCTTTCCTGCAGGGTGAGTGCTCCCTAGGCTGGAGCTCTGACCTTGGGGAAAAGGTGGAACTGAGCTTGGCTGATCCCACTCCCACTAGCATGCACTGGGGCCCCTGAACCAACTACGTGGGGAGGGGATAGGCCCACAAGGTCCGGAATGGAGAGTGGGGGCCACTGGGTGTGGGGTGGGGAGGGACTGGAGGCACAGCCCCCAGGGTCCATGGGTGTTCCAAAGTCCCCTGAGTTACAGGTTCAGCTGATGTAGACACGGTGGAAGTCGTGGGCACCAAAGGCTGCGTTGCACTTGGGGCACTTCCTCTGGCGGGCCTCATAGCGGCCCCGCACACACTCGAAGCAGAAAACGTGGAAGCACTTGGTAAGGACTGCATCCTTCTTGCGGGTGTTACAGCAGGGGCAGGTCAACCGCGCCTGGGCCGGGCAAAGGCATCAGCTCGGGAACAATCCTGACAGTGCCCAGATCCCAAGATGACAGCAAGAGGCAGTCCAGAATAAGCCCACCACACAGCAGAATGCATCTAACTCTCACCATGACCCTGGGACGTGAGGATGAACACTCTCCAGAGGAAACTGAGGCTCAGAAGCTGAGGTCTTGAAACTAGGAAGTAGCACAGTCTGGACTTGAACCCAGGCAGTGATGGCCAGGGGTCAGATGTCCCCTCTTAAGGTCAATGACCCACAGGCTCCAGCCTGAGCTCCTCTGCCCTGTGGTTCCATCTCTTGCTGCTCTGGCCTTCTCTGGCAAAAGCCCAATCCCGGCTTAAGCCAACAGCCTACCTTCTCCCCACCCGCACCTGCTAAGTCACAGCTCAGCATGGCAGTGCCACTAGAACCCTGCTGTTCTCAACACTCAACTGG